TTTTTTATTCTTTTGCGTAAAACTAAAATTCATGCCAATATTTTTCCATGATTTATAATAATTGGAGTAATGCAAATAAATATTTTCTAAAAAAAGTCAGTTTTTAGTGAAACCTTGCCGGGAATGGGGCTTTAAGTACAGGTCTCCCTCTAATTAAAGATCTTTCCAATTGACATGTCGACAAGGACGCGAAGCCCGCCCTCAAAGTCACAAAAACCTTAGACAATAGCGGCTAGATTTACCGATTTGGCGAACATTTTCTTTGCTATTAACCTTCTTTAAGAAAGAAAATTCAGGGTAGGCGGTATGCAAATGAATCATATATTCATAGTGTTAATCTATTTCATGGAACATGGTGGGGAAATTGTTGTAAAAGCCTCTGTATTTCGCTCCCAAAGGAAGAGGAAAAAGCTGCATTCAGTCAACCTTGTTGACGGCAAAGGCTGAGTCGCTGATGCACACTGCTTGTGTAAATCTGGGTGTCTATAACCAAGCATAGACATGTAGGCCTAGGCTCACGTATGTTTTGCGTTTAAACCAGCTGTCTAAGGTAAATAAAATGTCCGAGAAAAAGTTTTTGATCACGTGCCTAAATGATGCTCGCTGATTAGTTGGTTTATCTGTCAATCAAATCTCGCCGAGATGTTAATGTTAACTTTTTTGTGGTCCCAAATTAACAAATATCTTTTACTGTATATTTATTATTCTAATTAAAGACCAAAGCTGCTAAAATCCCTGAAAACCCAAAAGTGGTCTTTAATTGGAGAGAAACCTATACACTGAGCAATACATCAAAGAATAATAACTTCGCAAAAACCAAGTGCCATTAATAGCCTGTTGATTGATAGCACTGTTTAATTCTTGTTGTTATTGTACTATAATTATTTTTCTTATTATTTATAATGATGATAAATGGCACACTTGAGAGAGGTCTTGAAGTTTAAAAATGGCTAGGGACTACTGATCACCATTATCACTCCCCTGGGTTATGCTGCTGGATTGGTCTGATAACAAGTCTTGTTCTATTCTTGTCAGAGTAAAGTTTAACAACCAGATATCAAATTTCATCTATTCCTGAAGCTTGCACTGTACTTAGGAAAGTGTGTCAACACCATTTAAACTGTAGTAAATGGAGTTTACAATGTTATTGTCTCTTACCTGTCAAAAGTTAAAGAAAATAAATCTTGACAATTCATGACATACACAACAAAATAACATAGTATTATAATCCAGTCAGATGCTTGCACCAGCTTACAGAGAGGGAGAAGGGGTTTGAGAGGCCTAGAAAAAAAAATGTTTGTTCCTCCGACCATGTAAAATTGTCTTGATAATATGCCTGCAGCACCAAATGTTATCTGTACATTATAGCTCGACAATATATTTTTTTAAATTTGTTTTCCCCAAAATGCCTCCTGGACATTTATGATGCCTCTGACCACCGATCATATTGTCATGCACTATTTCCAGCCATAGAGGGTAGATGCTTATAGAGTTGGGCTCATGTTAGTATGTATGCTAAATCTGAGCTACTACATTCTGACGCTCAATATTTTGTCCTTAAAACAAACCTCTTGGCCAATGATGGTTAAAGTGCTTAATAACATATAGTATAGTATAACCCTACTCTTTTGCTTATTCTTCATAGTAATCCCATAGCAAGTAGGAATTTAAAATAAAGGGGCTCAACCAGATACTTTCACAGAAAGAGGGTCTATACCACCTCAGTCTCAATCATTGTTGGGTCTGAGGTAAGAAAATTTATGATTTTGGCAACTCTAGAGGGCTGGAAATGGCACTCAGGCATAAAATTTTAGTATTGTTTGTTTTCTTTTTTTTTTTTTTATTAAAAAAAACTTTTGAGGGGTGGGGGGCAGGCTGGCTGGCTGGCCGGCACCTCCCCCTCGCATGAATCCGCCACTGCTAAGTTATAAAAAAAAAAACTGAAATCAGAATTATGATTACTTTCTTTCTATCTGTCTCTAATTATAGAGGTATGCTGTAAGTTTAATGTTTGATAAATGCTGTTTTGTGGGTTTCAACATATTAGTGAGGTCTTTTCCAACCCTTCTATATTTTTGACACATCAATTGTTTTTTTGTTTTTTTTAATTTAGATATCTCAGAAGCATGGCTTGATGTCTTACTACAAGTAATATCCTTTCTACCAAAGGATCTCATCAGGAAAGAGGTAATATTTTGTGCATTTTTTTATTTACAAGATAGAGAATTTAAAAATTGCATTCATGTTGTTAGCAATAAGAATATTGTATCAAAATGAACCTGGCTGAATTAAGCCTACCCTTTTACGAGCACTGTTTGGAAGGAGCACACTCCTTAGAAATGCTTTTTACTTTGTGCTATCACAGGCTAGGCTGGTGGGTGCATGTGTTAAGAAACTAAAATGATTTTAGAATCCATATTCCTAATTACATCAGGCTCAGTCCAGCCTTTCTTTCATGTTTGCACAGTAATTGTGGATGAACATTACATGTCCATAGCACAAAAAGATACCATGACTTTGGTTGTAATGTTTGTTTGAATGACACAACAAATCATCTGGGTATCGTTTTGTCACTGCCCTTGCTGTTGTTAAATTCTGAAAATGTTCTATTTAAATTTACTAATTGTATTTTTTGCATATATACATAATTATAAATTTTATTTATTTTTGAATTATACAGTATCTATCTCCGGTGGTAAGACGGCTTTGAAGCTAGGTGCTTGTTCACCTGTTCTGTTTTTGCCATCTAGTATGATTGTTCCAATAACAGTTGAATAAAATACAATAAAATAATGATATTTGTATTGTACTATAAAAACAACATATGTTTTAGGTATTCTTATCATACAATACACGATAAATACCATTCTGTAACATTTATCCTTGTTTTGTGTGTTCTGTGGAAGGTCAAAATATGTACACTACGTGTGGTATTCTTTGAAATTATAAGAAAATAAATGACTTGTCGCATCTCTTTGCTTTTTTAAAGACTACCACTAATATTTCATAAATTAATCCATACGTAATATTAAAACTTAATAATGATGTTCCTCCAAATTAAATCAGTTGTAATGCCAGACATATTAAAACCAATATATCATTAAAAAACCATTATCTCACCTTCACTTCAACTTTCCTTAAAATATGATGATTAGCCTACATTGATTGTCAGGAGGCCCATTACCATACCACTTCCCATCTTTACCAACACCTTCATTATTATCACCATAGCAACTATGTCAACTCAGCTCTACTAATCAATGTATGCTCAAGCCTTCAATTGATGAGATTATGTTATGCAATATTGTTTTGAGCATGGTAACTATTAATTTGGATAGTTTATGAACTAAATGCGGTAACTGATTATAGGTTGATATTCAAATGTCCTTGTTCATTTCCTGAGAAACTGAATTATTGATTAGTTTTGAATTTTTCTATTATTCTTCTATTCTAGAATTTTCTACAATATCACTGACAATAACTAGAGATAATCATTAGCACGCTTCAGTTTTGAATTTTCCTTTTATACTTCCGTTCTAGAATTTTCTTCAATATCACTAATAATAACTATACAGTATCATTACCTCACTTTGGTTTGAAAACATGATTCAGAAGGAATGATGATAACCACAGAATTTTATAAAATATCATGATTACCACAATTAATAGAATTATCATTGCCATTGTCACTTAAATGATCAACACAGCACAGTTTTACACATCATCATCATTCATAATCATCATCATCATTATTACTGTACCTTAATCATCATCATCATTATCATTACCTTCATCATCAAGCTCAATTCGTCTTTATTGCAACTTTTCAGAAGATGGATTTACATTCTTATAATATATAAAATACATGTCAATAAGCAGAAATATATAGAATATCAAGAATCACCTAAATACAAAAAAGTATACAAATTATAAGAGTTAAAAAATGACATCATCATCATCATTGCCTTCATTATCATCATCATCATTGTCTTCATTATCATCATCATCATTGTCTTTATCATCATCATCATCATCTTCATCTTCATCATCATTCATGTTGTCAGGCAAGTATCTGTACCAATGATCTTTGCTGATATCTACTGTATTCCCCCTGGACATGAGTTAAATGTCAGGTTTACTTATCACATTTCAAAGATATTTGATAGCTATCAAATTTTAATCGGCATTTATAAATATATATCATGTCAAATGTAAATGACGTGCATAAAATTTATTTGATGATTTCATAGTTCTTCTGACAATGCCTCATGGTACTGTTCTAATTCTGTCTAGGCTTATTTTAAGCTTATTGTTTTAATGGTGATAAAACAATAACATAATGATCATTGAAATTACAAGGCATATTTTATAATTAAACTTGAATCACATATACAATTTCATAATGAAAAAAAAAACCATTATAAAGAATAATCTGCAGACTCAACCATCCAGATTCAAAGAGCCTAAGTTATCCAATTTTTTCAAGGACTATTATTATGTACCGATTGTTTTATTTTTCAAGGACCATTATTATGTACCATTACATTTTTTTATTTTTCTCTATAAAGGTTAACCAACTATTTGTTTTTTTATATTTTTAGCTGATCAAATTTTCTGATTTTGATTTCTGAATAAGAGTTTTTTTACCTTGGTTGTAATTTTCATATTTCTAAAAAGCTATTGAAAATAAACCTTATCAGGGAAATATGTATTATGTACAGTTTAAATAACTTTATGTCGCTTTCTCTGAATGACGTCTCATATGACCTCTAATTATGTCGCAGGTGGAAAATGTAGAGTAGACCTTACATTTATAGTTTAATGTGTAACATAACACATTTAGGAATAAACAAATTATGGTTTAGTGAATGTTACTTGTTTGTGGGGATACAGGAGTAGAGAGGGGAGTTTGAGCTTCATGTTTGCCATTTTTGGCACATAATCTCAAAGCTCGAGAGTATCAAGTTTTATTTGACTAAAAAATGGTTAGTATATCCATATACTGTAGTCATGATGTGCCTATATATGGTCATGATGTGATGTTATCATGACTATATTTAGGCATGCCACTTGGTTTTTTTTTTTCCAAATAGATTTTTTTTAGTCTGGACAGGCCTTTAGTAGGCATGTTATATTTATTAAGGGAAAAACCTAAATGTTTGAAAGGTTGTGCTTTCATTAAATGTCATGAGTTTTAATAGTTAATATTATTATCAATGATGATTCTACGATTAAGTTAAAAATTATGATTTTTTACTTAAATTTATCTGTTTATATGTGTTTATCCCCACTATTTCTTGTCTTATTGATGCCTTTTAGGAGATCAGTACAAATGCATTTAAAAGAGTATTTTGCAGAATATATTATTAAAGATTTGATTTAATCAAAGGGTATTTCTGGATATAGAACTAATGTGACCTATGATTAAGGCATTGTGTTTAGCTAATGGCTGAGTAGGTTTAAGTGAATTTGATTACTGGAATTAGTAATTGGCTGTGATGAATATGCATTGCTTATTATACTTTAAAAAGCACATGCGTAAGCAAGAGATTTGCAGGCAGGTGTTCCTGATAAATTCGCTGAAGAATAGTAAAGATGATATTGCCACCACTAGTCATCAATAGATTTCACTACGTATATATCTACAATATCAAGACCTCAGTCTATAGGCCAGGAAATTAGCCTTTGCTGTTGAATGAACATTAAGATGCATACAAAAACAATATATTATATTGAATGCAATTTTTGTCTTGTGTTAAAAATTGTAAAATTTCATCAGTACCCAATATTGCTATAACTTTATACCTTGAGAGCATTAGTGTTAGATATGAAATCATAGTAAAAGAATCAGTTTTCTTTATATATTTCTTTATCATTCTGAACCACATAGACAAAGTTTTATTCTTAATAATTATTTGAATTTAGTAAATTTTAAGTTTACAGTATTTGGTCTTTTTCTGTTGTAGATCTTAACGGTGGCTGTTGCGAAAGGTAGGCTCACACAACTGATGCAGTCACGTCTTGCCAGCTGTCTCATCCTGGGAAAAATAGCAACACGCTTTGACTCGTTTATGTAAGCATGCCAGTAATACTTAATATGTTTACAGTAATTTTCTTGCTGTACTATTCACAATACAAAAAATCATACTAAATCAGTGGCAGATCTAGGAATTCAAAAAAATTGATGGGGCTCTGGGAGGGTCTTTCATAGTCAGGGTCCACCG